GCCATCGCGGGGCGCGGGGACTTGGGTCCCGGAGCCTCCGGGCAGCTCTGCACCCACAGCCCCGAGTCTCCTGGATGGTGCGGGGACCACGGGGAGTTCCCAGGGGTCATTGGGACTCGGCCTCCGGGGGTTCGTGCGTGGGAGGAGCTGTGGTCTGTGGTCCCCGGTCCCTTCTTCTCAGAGACCTGAAGTTTTTGAAATGTTCGGGGGGCGGGGTCTCAAACCCACGACCCTTTCCCTCCGGCCTGGCTCTTCCTGGGACTGGCAATAAATCCATAAATGTTCATATTTCTGCCTGCATTCTCGAACGCCGCCTTTGGTCTCCGATTCAGAGCATCAACTGTTTCTCTTCCAGCGGGCATTTCTAAAACAGATATATATTGATTGTTTATCATTTTTCTACATTCAATGGATGACTCACTTGAAAGATTTATTTATTATTTTTTGTTGTTGCCCTGCCCGAGTCGCTCAGTTGGCTTCAGCGTTGTGGGTTCGATCCCAGGTCAGGGCACACAAGAAGCAACACACGAATGCATAATAAGTGGAAAACAAATCTCTCTCCCTTTCTCCCACACCCCCCTCTTCCTTTCTCTCTAAAATCAATTTTAAAAATAAATATTTATTTTTTGTGTGTAGTTGTGTTTAAATGAGAGGAAAGCTGAGGATCACCACCTGGAATACGTTGTATGAAATCCCTGTCCCCCTGTCCCAGGACCCTCTCTGGGCACAGATATCCTAGGAAGTCCTTGGGTGGAGATCCTCTTTGGAAACTTTTCTGGGTGTTCGGCCCCTTCCCTGGGATTGTCACTTAAAAAGACGTATTTACTTTGTTTTTGGTGTCCATTTGTCAGTGAGTATAAAATGTATTTAATCAATAATCTTGAAAGGTGATATAAAATAGTTATTTCCAAAGAGGTATGAGAGATCAATTTCAGGAAGAAAAAAAATTCCAGTGTTACATCGAATGCATTTGAACTTAGTGTTTCTCATTTTCCTCCCCTGAGCGGTGTCTATAAATTTCTGTACTTTTCTGAAGTGCCTTCATTCTTTTGTTTTGAGGAGGGAGGGTGCTCAAATGGAAGTCCAGGGCTTAAGATTTGAACATCAGAAGTGTTCAAGTGTGCTTAATTAAGAACTTTCTTCTTGTCATAGAAATAGCAAATCATTATTTTCTGAAAGTAATAAGTACTTGTGGTTTTTCTTTTTTTTTTCTACAACACATCACCTGTCCACTGAATTGTGTGTTAGCCTCCCCAAATCAAGTCTTTGCCCATAATAATTTATCCCTCCTATATCCTCCTCCCCCTCCCTCCCCCTGGCAGTACCAGTGTAGTCCCTGTTCATGAGTTTTTTTCTGTCTTTTCTTTTTTGCTCAATCCCTCCATACACCCCTCCCAACACCTCGTCTTGCCTGCCCACCCGCCTCCCCTCCCCCAGTGGTTTTTCTTGTTGAACTAGAAATATGGCTTACAGCAGTGGTTCTTAACCTTCTGGCCCTTTAAATACAGTTCCTCATGTGACCCAACCATAAAATTATTTTCGTTGCTACTTCATAACTGTAATGTTGCTACTGTTATGAATCGTAATGTAAATATCTGATATGCAGGATGGTCTTAGGCGACCCCTGTGAAAGGGTCGTTCGAACGCCAAAGGGGTCGCGACCCACAGGTTGAGAACCGCTGGGACTCTAGGATGTGGAACCTTCTGAAAGTGGCTCTCCTGTCCTGTGGGAAGCAGGCTGCTCCTCTGAGCTGATTCCAATGCTTGTGTTTCTTTCCTTTGGATCCTTTATCCACTGCCTAGTGCAGGCCTTTGGCTCTAGTTTCCCTGAGTGTAGGGGACAATGCTCCAATCAACCAAGCCACACTGGCCAGCATGTAATTGTTCATATTTTCCCACCTTCAGTGGATGCCTCACATTAAAGATTATTTTATGTGAGGGGAAAGTTGTGAATACCACGTGGAATATGCTCTGTGAATCCCCATTCCTTTACCCTCAGGATCTTTCCTGGGCACCGGTATCCTATGGGCAGTCCTTTGGGGGGAGGTTCTTTTTTGAAACTTCCCTCCATTATCTCCTGTCATACTGCCCCTCTGTGATACTGTCCCGGCCAAGAGACAGACAAAAGAGGCTGACAACTCCAGCATTGCATCACGAGTTTATGAAGGGAAACTGCCTCCAGGGGGACCCTGTGTGGGTGCAGGCAAGACCATGCGGATATCCTGCCATGGCCAGCATTATGTAATTAAATAGAACAGGGCAGGAAGGACTGGTGTACTGGTGCTTGCCCACCCCAGATTAGGAAAAAACACTTTATTTATTTTTTTAAATATATTTTATTGACTTTTTACAGAGGGGAGAGGGATAGTTAGAAACATCGATCAGCTGCCTCCTGCACACTCCCTACTGGGGATGTGCCTACAACCAAGGTACATGCCCTTACTGGAATCGAACCTGGAACCCTTCAGTCTGCAGGCCGACGCTCCATCCACTGAGCCAAACCAGTATGGCAAGGAAAAACACTTTAAATACTTGCCCTGGGGCAAAGCAATGGCCTGTTCCTGTAAGCAACTCCCTGTGGGACACAGGGAGGGAGTCTATCGGGTCTGAGGGGATTTAGGGTATCAGTCTCTAATCTGCCTAGATCTAACTTGTGTACAGTCTTCTCTACACCCTTCCTGGGTTTGTCACCTTGAAACTATTTAGTCACTTTTCTTCATTATCCATTTTTTCAACAAATGTAAAATGTATTTAAGCAAATCTTGAGCCCTGGTTGGTTTGGCTCAGTGGATAGAGCGTCGGCCTTCGGACTGAAGGGTCCTGGGTTTGATTCAGCCAAGGGCACATGCCCAGGTTGTGGGCTCGATCCCCAGTAGGGGGCGTGCAGGAGGCAGCCCATCAATGATTCTCTTGATTGGCAGTTTCTTTCAACATTTTGTGCATATCATGCTACTCTAATGTCCTCGAGGTGTCAGTTGAGAAATGCAGAAACGGGGGTTTCCTTGTATGTGATGCATCACTTTTTTCTTGCTACCTTTCTGTCGTAAAATGTTTCCCTCCACGTCCTGCGTGGTTCAGGGTTCGGGTCTGGAAGAGGAGCCGCACACAAATGAAAGAGAAAAGACAAGAGATAATTTGGAAATATTGGGGGACCAGGCGGGTAAGTCCAACTCAAGAGGAAGGACTTCCACCCGTGCACAGGCCCCACCGACCTTTTATAGACAGAGGTAAACAAGGCAGTGGTTACCATAGTTACACAGTTCTTGTGAGTTTCACCTGTTTTGATCATGTTTACACTCCCTGCACTTCCCTCAGCCCATTAGCTTCCCAGGTAAGATCTGGGGAGTGCTATAAGGCCAAGCCTAATTATGCTAAGAGGACTGAGCCCTCTAAGCTGGGACTTGTTTGTGACTTTGCCAGCAGGTCAGTCGGAGGCTTAACCCTATATCGGTTTCTCACACCTTTCAAAGTTCTTTGTCTTTGATTTTTGATAATTTGCTTATAATGCAACTTGGTGAAGTCTCCGTTTGGCTCAACCTGTTTAGGGGTCTTTGCGCTTCATGCATCTGGGTGTCCATATCTGTGTTCTTTTTGATTTTCTGCCTGCTGGAACTCTTAATTACTAATGGAGCAGGTGTTGATGTCTCCAACTATAATGATGGATTTATCTGTTTCTCTTTGCAGTACTATTCTCCCCCTGCTCCCCCCCCTCACCCCGCCAAGCATTTTGTCCCTCTGTTGTTAAGCACATACCCACCAAGGACTGCTATGTCCTCTTGGGGAACTAATCCTTTATCATTATGTGATTGCTCCTGTTTTTCTCTCTGAATTTTTCTTCCTCTGAAGTCTGCTTCCTCTGAAATTATAGTACAGCTATGCCAGCTCTTTTTTTGGTTTGGTGTTGGGATGATATATGTTTCTCCATCTTTTACTTTTTATCTATATCTTTTTATCTAAAGTGTGATTCTTGTAGGCACTATTTGTTATTTTATCTGCGATGACAGTGTCTGTCTTCCATGTGTTGCATTTAGACCATTGATATT